GACGTGTTAGCCACATATAATGTAACGAAACTCCCTTCCCTCCCCATTCATGTCGCTGTCTTCATACATTCCAATTTCTTTAATAAATAAACAAAGAAAAAAATTATGAATAAATTCCAAAATAATTAAGGCAAAAAAAAAGGAGGGGAAAGAAATAAAATCCAATCAAAACAAAATTTTTCTCAACGGTAACAAAAACAAAGGAATCCGATCATATCAAATAAAATTTCGTTAATTGAATTAAAAAATACTAAATTGGCTAATAACCTCGGGAGTGAAAGCAAACGGAGAAATGGTTCGGGCTTGGAGCTCCGAGGCGACGAGGTTCCAATCTCGGGTACCGTGCCGGAGAACCGCCCCACCTAACAAAAGCTCCTCCCACGTGCCCCACCTCCCCGTTATCATCTCCGTTCCCATTTCCACGTGTACGGCCACGACTACTTCAAACAACGACCTCGCACCAGAAAATTCAAAACTAAAATTTCAAAAGCCACCGCCTTTCTCCGGCGCAAGTTCACCGAACGCCACCCTCTCCGCAAAAAAACAAAAATTTCAAAGGATTTTCAAAAATTCGTTTAAAAGGGAATCGAAATTTCCTGTTTGAAATGGTGATGGAAATAGCCAACAAGCAAAGCCAAAGAAAACAGCCTGTAAATTGAAGAGATAAAGACAGACACAGAGACAGAAAGAGATTAAAGATAGTTTCTTTTTTTCTAGGGAAAAATTAAAACATTGGATTTTTGCTTTTAAAGTAAGAAAATAGAGAGACCATCGGAGTCTCGGACAACGATTTTTTTTTTCTTTTATTTATTAATTTAAATACCTGGAATTTTATTTTGGTTTGGTTTTTTTTTTAATTATTTATTATTTATTTTTGGTTTGGTTCGAAAAACAGGGATTGTCTTTTCTTTAGCTTTTCTGTTTGCGGACACACTGGATTGACCTAATTACCTGTCTATTTCCAATTTCTTTACTTCAAATGACATTCAACTCCTTTCTTAATTAGGATTAATCATTCTATAATTAGCACCAAATTACATATTTATAAAAATAATTAAATAAAGTAGTTTGTAAGTGTTACCGATCCTTGCTTTCAATCTAAAAGACATAATTATTGAACAACGTTATACTGATCTAAGGATCTGTAACATATTTTTAAAATATAATTTTGTAATAAAAAAATTAAAAGAAGTATGTTAAGGTAGAAGTACAGGAATGTCATTAAATTAAAAGAGTTGTACTAAACCGTCATAGCGTAGCGGTCTTCTGTTTTCAAGGGATTTGTGATGGCTTCATTGGATTTGTAATTCTGTTTTATAATTTAATTTTTAACCTAATGAAATATCATTAATTATCGTAATAATTAATCATCCAATTGTTTGAACTAAAGATTTTTCCGATATCTTACCTAAATATGTTACTCAAAAGCATATTATGATTCGTCAAAATAAAACATATAATATGTTTTTATAAAAATAAAATATTAATCATTTAATTTAAATGGAATTAAAATTTTTTTTTGGATATTTTACCTAAATATAATACAATAATTTAAGTATATTACTATTTGTCAAAAAAAAAACAAAAAGTATAGATTTAATAGCCTAAAAAGCAAGCATAGAATATGATATGACCCTCTTTTTAGCCATTCTAATTTGGACAAAGTAGGTAAGAAGAAAAGTCTCCTGCAAAACCTTCTTCTTTTTTTTTTTCTTCTTTTAAGTCTTTGTTAGCAAAGACTTCACCCATGGTTGACTTGCTCAAAACTTTCCCGGTAACCAATCACTGTGAATTTTCTTGTATATTTCGTTTCACTATCACTACTGACCAAACTTTATTCCAATGTCTGATTAATAAATCGTTGGATGTCTTAATCATATTGGTTAACCAAAAGGACATGTTCCTGAATGGATAAGATATGAATGTGCCACTAGTCTCTCTCCACATGCCTTTTAATTGGAGTATTTATTGATGATTGTTTGGTATTTTAAAATAAATCCGAAAGTTTTTATATTTCAATCATTTCGTATAAATATAAGATATTTTTAAATTCTTAGTTAAAATTAACGATTTTCTTACTCTTAATATTTAGGTTTTCCTTTAAAGGGAAGAGGAAATTTTAGCAAAATCTTGAAGAATACATGAACTTACCAATTTTAGGACCAAAGAAAATTAATGATTGTTTGGTATTTTAGAATAAATCCGAAACAAAATAAATTTTTTTATTTGTTGGGTCTTGTTTAGATCGATAATTCGTATTTTTATATTTTAATTGTTTTATATAAATATATAAAATATTTTTCACTATGTTTTTGTTTTTCCAAATCGTGTAACAAAATTTTCTTACTCCTAATACATAGGCTTTCCTTAAAAGGAAAAGGGAAAGGGAAAGACTTTGGCAAAATCCAGAGGACTGCATGAACTTACCAAATTTAGCAACAAAGAAACATTGATGATTGGCTTTCGTAATTTCAAGGATATGGAAGGAGGCCTCCTTGGGAAAGACACGTGTATGATGGCTTGGCTGATTCCGTAGTAACCTGCGGCGCGGGAAAGCTAATACCTAATGAATGTGGCTGATGGTGATGATGTTTGCATATAAAAAAAGAAAAAACAATTGATCCTATGGATGCTTATGATTACCACATGGCATGTTGCATGCCACTTGTCAACCCCATGACTGGAGAATTTATTGGCTTGTCTGGCTCTTTAGCGTTGCGGAAGCTAGCCTCACCACCGTCCACTCTTTAAATCTTGCTATAATTCTTGACCACGTCATCTCAATTAAAAATTTATTTAAATTAAAATTACCAAATTAATAAAGTACATGACTCAATTTATCTAAATTATTATATAAAAATTAAATTAACATATTTTTTTATAAAACATTAGAATTATCTACATAATTTGACCAATAATACGCTAACTATAAGAAATAGTTTAATCAATACTTATAGCTATAGAAGGACATTTCACTAGGAAAAAGAAGCTTTCAAGGAATTGATATATTTCATTGGATATTATAGCAGAGTATATTTGCATTGGGATATGCTTACATATATTTTTAACAAGAAGATTACAAACAGCACTATACTGAATCAAAGAATGACAGAAGGAAATTTCCGTGGTGTACCAGAAGCTTTGTGAGGTTCATAGGTTGGCTTCTTCCATCTTCAAAACGTGACGGGCTACAGGTAATGATACTGACTCAAGCTATAGCAGTCTGGTACCGGCAAACGCGGGCAGAGAAGGATGAAGTAAGGTGGCAAAGACAAAATTGTGTATCCAAGATGTAAGATACAGAAAAGGCCTTCTATGACACTCGAATCTTTATAAGAAGCTGTCAGCCCAGCCACTCTTTTTCATGCTTCAGCAGCAGATGGGTTTAAGATGGCAGCATTCATCATCATTCTTGAAGAACTAAATTCAATTCCTGGGCACATCTTGCTATGGCACCACCTCTCCTGTAGTAACACAAAGAAAATGAAATTCCATCATGTTGGCTCTTCACCCAACTAGGAAACCAATTATGCTACTCTAGGCTTCAACGCCGGATGTTCAAAGCATCAAAACATTATGATACGCAAACTGCCATTAAGGATATTGAGAAATCATTACAATGTCAGCTGCAATTATGAAATTTATGAAGTATGCTCCTAAATCCTTTTATGTAACAATATCAGCTGCAACGACTCGAATGGCATCTCACCTTACAAGTGGTGGAAGAAGTTTCTGAATCTTTTGCAGCTGCATAAAACATTGATTGCAGCATTCTCGCCTTCGTTCAAATTTTGAAAAACAGTTAGTTCATAGTGGCTACGTCAAACCCATGATATTATAGTCGATAAACTGAAAAGCAGATATCAACAAAATAAGTTAATCAATAGCACCTCTGCTCAGCATGAAGATCAACGCCAACACTATGTCGGGCTGAAATGGTTGAGCGTATCATTGGACCAAAAACTGCTACAAGCTTCAGCAGCATCTCCAATGAGACATTTACATGCCTGTATATTCATATCGCAAGCACAAACATCAGTATGAGCATCATAAGGAGAAGGCCCATTGTTTAAATGTTGAAAAATGAGGTACACCATAAATCAAATTTGTACCCACATGCCCAAAAGGAATTCATATCTTGTTATGCCTTTATTATTTTAGTTTTCAAGAGACGAAAATTTTGTTCTTGAAAGCAAAGGATGGAGTAAATCTCTAGAACAACATCTTCCCATACAAAGAACTACAAGTTTATTTTGAAAATTACCTTTCCATTTTGCTATCTAATAAGCCCATAAGCACAGGAATTAGGCCAGCAAACAGATCTAAGGTGAGAATCTCCATTTTTTCCATGAGAACACTGATTACATCTGCTTGCACCTGCACCAGAAGCAATTGGGTCTAAGCATGAGAGAATATGCATGAGATGCGTCTAGTTACTACTTGTAACCATCATTACAAACAGAATAAAGCAACACACATGAAATCTTCCCATAAATACCCACAGAATGATCTGGCAGCTTCCGCAAGGCACCAATTGCACCTTTAATGTCATTCTTTTCCCAAAAATGCCGCACCACCTACAAGTTCACCATATAAACAATTAAGAAATCCGAACAAAGAATGCAAGAAAAATATCATGTAAGAGGCAAACAAAGTACTGAGATTTCTTTTCTCCTTTTCTTTTTACTAAACTTAAATTGCCTTCTTGTTTCCAGAACAAAAGTTAGACACCGACACAGACGTTTAGATGCATATGCATATAATCTAAACCTTAGTTACTTGTATACTATTGCTGCACTCATTGATTATGTACGTATCAATATCTCTTTGCCTAAAGCTATAGTAATTCCAAGAAAAAGAAAAGCAGTAACAGCTACAAAGCAACTGCTGAATATATCCACAAACAGACAGCTAAATTTACCTGCAACTTTGTCAAGCGTGATCGAAGAGTGCTTAAGAATGTATCATGTGTTTGCATCAGACTTTCAGTTATGTTTTCATCATTAGCAGAGTTTGATTCCCCCTTTGAAATTTGGCTTTCAATAATAGTAACATTCCCATCATTAGCAGAACTCAATCCCCTCCTAGATATTTGATTTTCAGTAATAGAACCACTTGGTCCATTCCTGTCATTAGCATAGGTTGCTTCCCTTCTAGAAATTGAATTTCTAGAAATGATCCCATCAGAAACAGAAGTTGATTCCCTTCTAGAAATTTGGTTTCCAGCAATAATCCCATCGGAAGCAGGGGTTGGATCCCTTCTAGAAATTTGACTTCCAGTCAAGATGCCACCAGATGGAGAAGAGCTCGGTTCCCTTCTAGAAATCTGATTTCCAGTAATGATCCTATCAGGGATGAAGGTTGATTCCTTTCCAGAAATTTGATTTCCAGTAATGATCCTATCAGGGGTGACAGTTAATTCCCTTCTAGAAATTTGATCTCCAGTAATGATCCCTTCAGAAGTGGGGGTTGATTCCCTCCTAGGAATCTGACTTCCAGTAATGCTTCCCTCACAGCCAGAAGTTGATTTCGTTCTAGAAATTAGACTTTCAGCACTTTTCCTATCATTGGCAGAGACTGATTGTGCTTCAGAGATTTGTGTCCCTCCTTTCTGTCAAGGTAAAACATGAGAAATAAATTTAATTCAATCACAAAAACGTGAAAGTACATGCACATGTAAGTTTGTCCAACTCTGTTTAGACAGCTTTTTTATAATATCTGGATCATGCAAAAACTGAAATTTAAAACGTGGAGAAAGGATAAACTAAAGCTTAGCTTGGGCAAATCCCCCTTTTAATAAGGCAAGATTATACCATTATGGCTGGTGTACTATCTGTTTCAGGTACCACAGGCGATGGACTGTTAGTTGTTGGATCACCAATGCCGTTTAATCTCTCTCTTCGTTCGAACTTCTCAACCAGAGTGCGTGTTCTCCCTGGAACAACAGCCACTGCCAAGATAGAAATTTCGAAGGATCAAAATATATCCAGTTTTGTATTCTATAAGACTACATAGGTGCAAAAAGAAAGAGCAAAACCTCCATTGACAAATTTGACATAGTTTGAGTCTTTGCTGAAATTGAGGGATTCATTACCTAAAAACAATTAAAAAAAAACTAATCATTAACAACTATAAAATAAATAAATAAGCCATAAATTATCACAAACAAAGGTGACAAGGAAAACAGAAAAACATACATATGCATTACCATAACTCACTTAAGAAGAAAAAATACCATGATGTACAATAAAACTTACAAGTTTCTTGATTAGGGGGTGTCTTTGCTGATAACATCTTTTCAGATTTCTCTGTAACACTGTTGATGTTTGAGTCCTTTTCATCACAGGATTTTCTAGCTCTGTCCTCTGATACAAGCCTAGTTTGAGAATTCAGATCCATTGAACTGTCTAACACACTTTTTGTATTGCTAAGTGTTCCTGATTCAACTGCAGCTGACAGCTTTTCAACCTCAAACTTGTTAACAGATGGTCTTCTAACATGAGCTGGTCTGAGCAACATGCCTGGTTTTGTCCTTGAAAAGGTGATAGATTCTTTCCCAAGAGGGCTGTCCTGTGGTACAACACTTGGTGTAACAAAAGACTTGTTTCCCGATTGTCCATTAGATTTAGCATTAACACCTGTTCCAGGACTCTGCTTCTCTGCTGCAAGATTACTTATTTCACTGGCATCAAATGGGAATACCACTTTTGGAGAATTTAAAGAGCCAGCTTTCTGTGAAGTAATAGGAGGATTACTGCCAGCAGCTTTTCACAGAAATTGGAACATCATGTCAGGGAAAATGTAGCTTAAGAAATTAGAAGGGGACAAAAATTTTACATTTGGAAATTAAATTCCCCTAAAATTTATTTGTGTCATCATTGGAGCAGCCAAGCTCCACACACATGGATACTGACCATGCTAACAAAATAACAACAAACAGTTCAAAGAATAAAAACAACTGAAAAGAGAACTTACTGTCAACATATATGTTCTTTATTTCCTTTGTGTCATAATCAGGAGACATAGGCCGTGATCCCAAAGTTGACCTCATTCCACTCCCTGCTTTCTCCAAAGAATAACTTCCTTCAAGATTAAATTTCTTCTCCGCGTGGTCATTTCGTCCATATGGCTCAATATGCTGAGACATGTGCAAACAAGGCTTTTAAGAAGTTAAGACCAGTAAGTTTTTGCTCAGGTTCAGAATTTAAGAGCAACACTTCAAAATTGAACCAACAAAAAGGGAATGCAATATAAGAAAAGGATGATTGTAAATACCGCTACATCTGCTACCCAAACCCCAACAGAATTTCGATAGAACGAGCAACCCAAAAGTTTGCCTTCATTAATGCAGAGGTCACCGAGTGTTGACCATCCCATATCAACAGAATCATGACAAACTACTGGCTCCCATGAATAAACCTACAATTATGACAATGAAAATTTGGATTTTGGCTTTGTAATTCAGATAGAATCAAACTGGTTTTACAATCAAAAGTTCAAACCTTCAAACCATCATCTAATCCACAGAATAGGGTTCTTCCATCAGGATGAAAGGTAATTGAGCGAACCCCTGTAGCCTGAAAAGCAGGAACATTAACATTTTATAGATGTAATGATGAAATGCTTTGTTATCAACAATGGAGTTTTTATTCACTTCTTATTTTTCCTTTGAAGTGAGAGAATGTGTTTCTCAAATTTGGGTACCAAAACAGGACACGTACGTATATCCAACACAACTTTGTTCAATTTTTGTAAGAAAATTGCAGGATCATGCCCAAATAACTATGTTCATTAGGTTACATAATATGTCTTTAATACAAAAACATTAGGTTAAGTGAAGAGTAGAGTAAAATAAGTTTTCCTGGCATTACACATGGTAGTACCTGTTGGGCAATGCAAAAAAAGTTTTTTTTTTTCTTTACAAGAAAAAGAAAAGTCAAAACCATTCTATAACTTCTTTCTATTCCTCCATCCAAAATAAATGAAAAAGTCAATGACTGATTTACATAAAATTATCTTCAGCAGAGAGAAGGGGAGGAGGGTGCAGAGAAGCAAGCTTCTATTGTTGTAGCTTGGAGACACATAAGCTCAAGTACCTCAGGTCTGGAAGATCCAATCAGTTCAAAGGTTTCTAAATCCCAGAATTTTACTGTTCTGTCTGCTGAACCTGAAAATTTGTCACATATCAATTACGATATTCCCAAGAAAATGCTGGTTTTGAGAGGCATAATGAGAATTAACAATTGAGATATATTAAATAGATTTTCCACAAATACAATGAAAACTGAAAAATTTAAGTCTTTGCAAGCAGATTAAGAAGTCTATCACATAAACCCACAGCCCCACCTTAACTTGAAAAAATTAATTTTTATCAAGCTGGCAATGACAAGGAATACAGAAAAAGGCAAATGCAGCAATGATGAACTCACTGACTCCTACTGAAATCACAGACTTACCTGTGGCCAGGAGAAACTCAAGAGGATGGAAGTCTATGGAGCGAATATGCCCTTCATGAAACTTGAAATCATGCAAGAGTTTTCCAGCAGTAAGATCCCACACCTAGTCAGCAGTGACAGGACAAAAATGATTAGATAAATAGAATTGATGACTCATTGCAATGCAGATGATTGTGCAATCTCTAATTACCTTTACAACATTATCAAATCCACCAGAAACTACCCAGCGACCATCAGGAGTGAATCTAATTGTACTAATGCCTCGAGTATGGCCCTTGTATGTGTGAATGCATCCCTTTTTTCTGATATCCCAAATCTTTAGATTTGTGTCCATGGAACCAGATGCAAAGAACTCACCAAATGGATGGAATTCCACGGCAGTGCAATTAGATCTGTGACCGGTAAGTCCTCGAACCACTACACTTCAAGAACAACGTCAAGCATTTTACAAGTTAATTATTACCCAATTCCTATTTGGTATAAAAACTGATGATCCACATGTTCCAATTTAAACAGGTGAAAGTTCAATGTCCAACATTGTTATGTCTAACAAGCTCCTACTACATACTTTTATCGTTTGACATCAAAGTGAGAGAGACCAATATAACAGGAGGTTTCAATGAGGCTCTTAACATGATTTACTGAGGAGAAATCAAACACTTACTCTTTGTTTCTTCCAGATCCCACAGCTTTATCACACCTGTAGATGCTCCAGCAAGCACCAAGACTTCTGCCGAATCAAAAGCTAAAGATTCCACCGGACTAGTATGACCACAAAGACTCTGCATATTAACACATATGTACCACTTTATTCCAGATACAACACCACCCTTACTCTTATCAGCTTCAATTGATCCAAAAATGTAAATTCAAGCAACAAAAACAATTACTGCATAAGGGAAACTATCCGAAAGCTAAACTTGGTATGAATCTAAATGAGAGAGATGCATCTAAAAATTACCATCAAAGAAGTGGGTTTCCCAATTGCCCAAACATTGACTTTATGATCATCTCCGCCTGTAATAAGAAGCCTACGTGTCTTTTTTCCCATACTTAGACAATTCACATTTGCGGTATGAGCCACAAATTCCTCTAAATTCATTTCGTCAAGGAACCAAAGTAAACCAAATAAGGCCCCCAAGAGCCTGTAAATTTTCATTTTTAGATAAACGAAGCAAACTTTTATAGAACTTTCTCTTCAACTTGAGATTAGTTGAGCTCAGACTAGCATTATCTGGAATCTTTATAAAAGCTTATAAATTTTCACTAGAACCAAGACTTGTTACTTCCATCTCTTTCTTTTCTCCTTTTCTTCTATTTTCTTAGCTAGCAAACTAGGCAAAACGGCCTGATCTAATCAATAAAAAACAAAATTAAATTTAAAAAGAAAAAGAAAAACAAATTTGAGCTGAAATTCACAGTCAAAATTGCAAAATAAGCTAAGCATTCAATTCAGAACTTACTTAAATTTCCGACACAGCAGCTAATTCAAGCTAAGCAATTCAATAATAATAACAATAGCAAAAAGAAAACAAAGGACTAAAATTTAAGCTTAAAGGATACGCAGCTTGTATCCACGCTTCGCCATTTTCCAGGAAACAAAATCCAACACGAGATCGGACTCGAAACTTGAACCGCGATTCTGATCACCTTTCACTCGATAAACTGTTCCTCAAGATTCAACTAAAAAGCCGAAAAATCGCAAAAACTTGAAAAAACAAAAAATGTCTACTTTTCTTGAAATGCAAATCCACCAAGAAACGCTAAGGAATCAAATTCTGGTGAGAACTTGACAGCTCCCTAAAAATCAAAATAATATTTAAAAATAAAAACAAAGAAATCAAAATTTCAGAGGAAAATTTCCTTTTTTTCATATGATGCGAAAAGACTATACAGAGTTGGAATTTCAGATTTTCCGCAGACTATCATTGAGCGTGGTTTTTTTACTGTTCATATTCTTACCAAAATGCCCCTGGCTTTTAGCAGTTGGAATAGTTAAATTACTTAATTACCCATTGTCCTCTGCATGTTGACGCGTCGGTCGGATGCCTTGTTTCTCTCCCGTGGTTTAGGTTTCCTTGTCCTTTTTCCCCTCCTTCCTCTTTTTCTTATTGTTAAACATTTTTTCCGTGGACATAAATATATTTGTTAATTCTCACTTTAATGAACTTTTTTACTGAACTGAAAATGATGTTTATAACAGTAAGAAAAGAAAAGAGGGGTTTGCGGCAATTACAATCTGATAGATTCCTTCAAACTAATTTTGTAATTTGTTTCAGAATTAAGAAAATTAGATTGATGTAGACATAAACTTATAAATTAGTTGACTTTAAGTGGTTAGCTTGTCATTTGGTTCATTAACTACTTTAAATAATTTATTTTTTTTTATTTATATCTTTTTCTCATAAAGAGAGAAAATAATTGAGGGTGGCAATAGAGACCTTTAAATGGATATTTGTAAATATTAGACCCGATTATATAAAATGAGAGCATTTATACTCAAAGATTAAAACGAACTAGGATGACAAACACTTTAAAAAAATATTATAAGAAAAAAATAAAAAAAAATATTGGTTTGAAATTTATTAAATAAGTAACAATCATTACATTTTATGTTCATGGTTCATGGCCCATCACAGTTAGGATTATGATTATTAGTAAAAAGGAGGATGATGAATGCATGGATAATCATTTATCCCGAAAACAAAGATTGTTTAGGCAGTGTATTTAAAGAAGAGGGATGCAATGATTAGAATGTTGAATTGTCATGATAAGATGCTTCTTTTGGGTCATAGGGGGTGGGGAAATGGTTGGCAAGAATGAATAAAGAAATTATATGTATGACCACATGACATCAAACATCAAAAGCAACCCTTTGCATTATATTGTATAGTTTATACTGGAGATCTAGTGCAATTGGTATCAAACTGAAAGTTGTCTATAAATAGTTCAAAGGATAGGTAGCAGAACTCATCCAACATTGTGTTTTAACCACCTTGTACCTAAAAATATTCTGCAGAAGTCTGGTCAAAAGTCAATTTTGATCAAGCTAACTTAGTTGTTGTGTGGGGGATTTAGATTCTGAAGGCATAAAGGAATGTTCCTGCAAACACACATGGATCAGAAGATTGCTGTCTAATGAAATATGAAGGAAAAAAGGAAAATGGATAACAAGCCTGCCCCATTCCCCCGGTCATTTTCTTTGTTAAATCAATGCAGGCCTGGAAAGCAATATAGGTGATCTGGTGTGCGTACTGAGGGTATATCTCTTTTTTTTTTCTTCTAAAAAAGGGTGTAAAAGAAAGAGAGGTTACCAATTGCATTTTGACAGAACTATCCTCTGCAGCTGCCAGTGCCAGGGATAAAATGGATAGAGCCCACTTCCAACAGAGTAGGTGAAATACTTATCCATTCCTGGGTCCTTAACATCATCTTCAGATTAGTTCTAATCAAATTGAGTGCATTATCAGATTAGTTCTTCTACCAAGAATTTTTACCCAGAGATACTGATAAACATGTTGGTCCAAAGTCATCTGTCACCTGGTAACTGATTACTCTGATTTTCTGATTGTCTTGTTCCACCAATCAATGGTGATTTGGATTTTAGTCCCACAAAACTCCCCCATGTATGTATGCAAGGAATAAGGGTTTCAATCTTATGAAATCCAAGGAAGTGTGGGTGCTTTTTTCTTCCATTTATTGATTGGAATTTTGGTATTTTTTTGCAGTTGTCTACATGTTATCCATGTGGGTTCACATGCTGCTTAGTTTGTTTAATCTCATCCCCATCCCCATCTGGATCAAAACAAGAGATCATTTGACTGTCAGGGCACAACCCGACATCTTAATGCTTACATCTTAAACACCCATCAAACTCCGAGAATCTGTGTCTTCAACTTTCCATCCTTTTTATTTATTTTTGACAAACTTCCACTTTCTCCGGTTTCAGTTTTTCACAGAAGGCCAAAGACAAAGAAGAATCTGTCAGAAAGAAAATTCAAAAAAAAAAAGAAGAAGGATACATCAGTCAATGTATTAAAAGTTAAATACAGTGAACATGGCCATTGATATAATCTAGTTAGACCTCAAATGGACCACACTGGAAAAAAACAGTTTTGGCAGAAGAATTAATAAACAATAACATTAGCACCTCTCCATGGAGAAGAAGAAGCAAAACGGGTGAGGCCTAAAAGAATTTGCTGTTAGCCTTGACTATAAATTGCAGAAAATATCACAGAAGGCATCCGATGAGCTGCGGATTCAAGCAACAAGCACCCTTCTTGGGGAGTTTCATCAGATTGAACTTTATAATCTTGTAAATCATTCACACTTCTCAAGCTGACATCTCTTCTGCTTCATTTCCCTTTTATGAAACATTCAGTATATAGCCAAAATTGCTCAAGTTTCGCCTCTAAATCATGTGCAAAAGATCCTGGACGATTTCAGATATTGGTGGTCTGAATCCTGGCTCCCACTGCACAAAGATTAAATATAAGGTGCCTTGTAGCTCTCAATAAGAAAAGTAATAGGAAGACAGCATTACGTAACCTGAAATGGAAGAAATTTGGAAACATGCTTTTTGTGGATTTTGGTTATCCTATTCCCATTTTAGCTTTAAGTAATTTACAATTTAATTCCCTTTTGGCAATGGACTATTTTTTCTTCAATCTCCAGGCAAAGTGTTAATAGATTATTTGCATTGCTAGGAATGATCTCTCTAAAGGCAATGCCCCAAAGTCATATTGCAGAATCTCACCATCAGAAAGAGCATGCCACAAAAGTAGAAACATAACAAGAGGGAGCAAGAAGTTCACCTGTACACATCTAGATATTATATCTGCAAAGCGTGACAATGACTTCACTGGGTACACTCCATTTAGAGCGATATCAACCATCCTAGCTAACGCATCAATATCATGAAGCTGAGGAATTGCCCATCTAACAAGAAATTGCTCCCCTAGAGGCCGTGACCTGGACATGTTAATACAAGCTTAGTGCAAGGTAAAAAGTTCAAATGATTGATAAATTACCTTCAGGCAAATTTCCATATGTATGTGAGATTTGGCTAACCTGTCAAAGGATTTTCGCCCTGTGAGAAGTTCTAACATTACAACACCAAGGCTATAGACATCACTCTGGCAAGTATAACTTCCTGACTCAATTTCTGGGGCAGCATAACCATAGGATACAAAAAGGCTTCCAGAAAACTGCGAATACTTTCACCAATATCAGCCACAATTCTATATGATAATTTATAGAGCAAACACAAACACATCTTGGACTCTGTCATGTGATTTAATGAGTATGTTTGTGTTGAATAATTATTATTTTGTATTGACCAGCTTAGAGGTAAATAAATGGGACAGGAAAATTTTAGTTAAGTGCCAAGATACCAAACAAAATCAGTAACAATAAGCAATACTAGGAAAAACAATTCCTGCCCTCCCAGATAGAGATAAGGATCCCTCATGCCTTCATTTTGAAATTCCTAAATTTTACAGGTTCATCTCCTTAACTGATATTCCATTATAGTGTCATACCGTCCATACATCTCATAATTCTTTAACCTGTCTGCATTATAATTTTCTCCAATGTATAGTTTTCTCACTGTTCAATTGCAGTAACATCAATGTCCACAGAAAACAACTAATGAATGTAATTCAAACAGACTGGTCTGAAGTCTCCAACAAAAATTTTGTATTATTAGTAACTAACATATTTTGTATTATCAGTAACTAATATATTTGTGGAACCTCAAATCAGCAGGATTTGAATATCACACATCTATATACGTATTTGCACCCAAAATTACCTCACTTAAAGAGCCAGATGACACCAAAGGAGCCAAACCACATTCTGAGACACGAACTGCAAGCTTGTCATCAAGGAGAATATTTGCAGACCTGATATTCTTGTGCACAAGCGGTGGCTGACAAACTTCATGCAGAAATCTTACCACCAGCACCGCAAAAAAAAATAACAATAAAAAATTACACTTAGTTTCTGAATGATTGATGGCTTAAAACTAAGAGACTAAAGACAATCATATAAGCCACAAGCAAGGAATTACGGGCTCTTCTGGGTTCAACTATGCATCATATAAAAGATGAGACAACCTGCTCAAATATACTGCATTTTTTTCCCCCATAAAAGCACATCAAATTTTCTTGGTTACATGATTAAAGGGCTCTTGTATTGCCAATGTAGTTACTTACGTAGGGCTCTTGCAACTCCAAGCGCCACTCGAACACGTGCATTCCAAGAAAGTTTCTTACGGATCCCATCGTCAACATGCAACGCATCATACAGTGTTCCATTTCTGCATACTCGTAGACTAGTAACCGTTGCCCATGCTCATTACAGTAACCCACAAGCTCCAAAATGTTAGGATGCCTAAGTTTATAGATAATAGATACTAATTCAAGAAATTCTGCATCATTCCTCCACCTGGAAGCTCTGGTATCCAGTTTCTTGATGGCAAGTAGCTACAAAGAGTAAATAAGAATGTCAAACATAAAGCCAATAGAGTGTGGTGAAACTTGCTAAGAAGTCAAATAGATTTCTACAATCAAATGTAAATCTTGTAATGAATGTTTGTCTGGCCAGGGAACTGAAAACAAGACAAAAGAAATCAGTACCTAAGAGAGAGAGAAGGGGGGGGGGGGGGGGGGGGGGGTTGATTTGAAAGGAAGAAAGCATGATTTACCAAATTCTGTTTGTTTATGAATTTAGCTTGTAGCATCCAAACTTGCTTAGGAGGGAAGAAAAGAGTCACCAACAGTATTGGTTCTGTCTTTTTCTCTCAAGAAAAGATGGAATAACAACGAAAGCAACATAAAAGACTTGCAGCAATGGACACATTTTAGAGGAAGGGGCCCGAGCCCAGGAACCCACTCAAGTTTTCTATCACACTTTTCAGAAAAAAAAAGTATTCTATCACATTGTCCTCCTGCATAGAAATCATCTTACCGTTCCATCTGGAAGCTCAGCCCTGTACACACTGCCGAGCATGTCTTCTCCAATAAAATTTTCCTCAGCAAAACTATTTGTGTACTGCTGAAGTGATGCGACAGTGAAGGCACTCATAGAACATGAGTCCTGAGCTCTAGAAGAGCGAGCACCTCCATTTACTCCTGCTGGCATGATCGGGCTTACACTGACCTCCTCCACAGGGGGAAATAAAGGAGGAGGTAGTGGTGGCCGTAGTGAAACGGGCATCACATCCACACCTCCCTTGTTTATTTCATGATTTTTTTGGGTCCTTGAACTTGAAGGCACCCTAATTACATCAGCAACCTGTTCATCTGGTAACTTCGAACTTATTCTCATTCCTCCCCTTTCTAGTCCATATCCATCGACCGGCTTCATGACTGCCTCTTTAGCAACTGTTAAATACGGTGCCTTTTCAGTTACATAGAGTATGGAAGGAAAATAGAGAAATAGAGAACTTTTACAAGGTCTGCCACAGGGATAGACTATTATTAAGTTACCTTTCTCTGATTTATTAATCTGATTAAGCTTCTCACTAGTATGCCTGTCAGAACTTTTGTTCACTTGCCTACGTTTACAACATCTCCACATGAAAAGCAGAAACACTACTAAGACAACAAGTGCTATAAGCCCTGCAACAGCAATCCAAATAACCCTATCCTTCGTCCAAAATTTTCTTGCTCTTGCCCACTGAGGTAATTCGACACTAGAAGGTGCACCAGCTGGTCCCCTGGATCCTTCCAAAGGAGATGGAGCCCAGTCTATATATGGAGGGAGTGCTAATGGTGGTGAAGGAAGAATAGTAGTATTAAAGGGATTTCCATCTTTCCTGCACAGAAGATGTCACATCATCATTAGAAAGTAGTGGGAAGACAAAGGGTTGTGGCAGGGGTGGGGGACCTGGATTTACAGAAACATATACCAAACTTATGTGCACTTGAATAGCAGCATGCAAATCTGAAAAATGTCAAACAAACAATCTGAGGATTCACCTGAAATTTGGAATATTTAGCAACTTAGCAGGTATCGGACCAGAGAGTATGTTGTTCTCAACATTCCTACACAAGAAGAAAGTGACAATTTGTAACAATTTCAGGTTAATGCTAGGTCATTCGGTGATATATTTGTGAAATAAATATTGAATGTGGAAAAATCAGAGGAAAAAGAGTACAAATCTGATAGGGGAAGATCCTGTAGAACATCAAGGAGCCCAGATATTCTGTTGTTCTGCAAGTGCCTGCCAGAGAAATAGTATATATAATCCTAGATGCTAAGAAGCATATATGTAATTCATGAAAACTTTTTGGATGAATGAAACTAACGACCTCATATTTTAATGAAAATATTACTCACAGTGTGGTAAGAGATGACAAGTTTCCAAAAGAGGGAGGCAACAGACCACTCAAATTATTTCCTGATAGATCCCTGAACATAAGGAACGGTCAAAATTTAACCTAGAAAAATAAACACAAATAGACACTATATTAAATAAAGAGCTTACAAATCGATCAAACTCTTAAGCTGTTGAAAAGAATCTGGTATTGCTTCACTTAGATGGTTATCATCCAAATACCTGAAGAGAAGGTACAATATTAGATAATAATGAGAAAATGGTTACAGCTTACTAGTACAATTTCAGGATAACAAAAGTTTGACTTAAACTTACAGTTCTGTTAGTTGTGTCAAGGTAGACAAAGTAGCAGGGATGCTCCCATTGAATTGATTACCTGAAAGATAACTAAAATAAGAGAAAAATAAAGCTCATTAAGTCACGGATAAGCTTAGTGAAAGAAAAGTGCATAAATTACTGAAATCATTTGCTTATAAAGTATAGTTTACAGATAAAAATAAAGATTGCAGTCAAAACATACAAATTTCTCATGGTAAGAGGCAAGTTAGATGGAATACTCCCTCCAATTTGATTGTGACTCAGATCCCTGCTCCGTAAAACAACAAAAAGCAGTATAAGGCTCTACAAAGAAAAATATAAAGCTTCCAGAACAAATGAAATAATATATGATATTTGGCAACTGAAACTTGATGCTTCCTTCTCATCCTTCTTTACATGATATACATTCATCCGCATAGAAATTAACCATTTGGACAACTCTTTGATTGCCCCAGAAGCACAAAGCCCAAAACCAGCCGACATGAAATATTAGAGAAAATGATTTCCTCAGAAGATATTGTCAACATTCACAGGTGACTTGAGAAAGAAACGAGTAAGCGTGTTTTGATGCATCACCATCTATAAGAGATTAAAATGATTGGGAACATGTTGATTATATATGATTGAACCTTAGTCATCGATGCTAATATGCACATCACCTAAAAACCATATATCAAAAAAGAAAAATGCTTACACCATTATCACTGATTCAAAGTCTCCAATGCCTTCATCCAGAACTCCTCCCAGGTTCATGCCATTCAGCCGTCTGAAAACCAATAAGCTCAACAAATATTGATACAAAATTTATTGATGGGAATAGGGAAACAACAGAAAAGGAAAGAAAATCCATGTACAGCTCTGTTATATTCGAGAAGACACATGAAACGCCCTGCCATCCTTCCCCACATGGATCTCCTCCAACAGGAATCCACCCAAGAAGAGGTGGGGAGCCCAGAGAAGTATATAAGCTATTTATTGCCGAAACTGGGAGACATACAGAAAACAAAGAAACAATTACCACAGGCTTCCCAATGTCTTGCTTTGAGAAACTTCCAGGTTCCAACATTTTAATTAAAAATTCTGACCAAGCTTAAAATCTAAAAAAACAAAAACTATCATTCACTGACATTTGCATAACCCAATGACTGAAGTTAATAAGTGCAATGACAGCAGCCATAGGCTAATTAAAGTAGATAAAAGCTCTTCCAAAAACTATCATTTAAGCTTCAGCAATTCTAACAGAACTTGAAACTTGAAACAGCTCACAAAATGCATATATCCAACCGAAAATGAGGCTAAACAAAAAAAATTGAACTTTTTTTTTTGTTATTTTTCGTAGGAAATGAAGCAAACTGCAAGTTAGCGCACTCTACTTTCTCACACTTTCTATCCCTTTTCTCAAACTTTCCCCACAAACAAACACAGCATCACATTCAACAATAACCAAATTGGAAAAGAAAAAAAAAAGGTGGTGCAAATTTGAGCTAAAATACTTTACCATCACGAGGGTCAGTAGTTCCGGCAGAAAACGGCACAGTCAAAAACAACACCAACCCAACACACATCATCCCCAAAGTCACAAAACCCATTTGCTTACTTAACAACAACCTTTTAAAGAAAAACCCCAACTTTCTCTCCTTTTCCCAGCAAACAAGCAAAAAAAAAAACCAGCAATGTATGTAAAGAAAAACAAATTTGAAATTCTGGGGTTTCGTTTTCTTTTGAAAATTAAGATAAAACAAAGATACACTATGAAGATCCCTTGGGTTATGGGCTAGTGGCAAAGCTCAGTAAAGTACAGAAAGGAGACAGTGAAGAAACGGGAGTGTTTTGTTTTACTTAGTACTCGCTTTTCCAGGTTGTTCTGTTTTCTGTCGAAACTGAGTGACCCCACTTTTCTCTGTCTTAAAAGTACCCACGCCCAACCAACGGCCCTGTAATCTTGTGACTTATCTTTTTTTCAAAAAAATAAATATTGAGAATGTTTTTGATACGGTCTTTTTTTAAATATTGTTTTTCAGCAAATTCTTTTTTTTATTTTTTTGCATTAAAATATAAATGATAAAAATACTAAAAAATGATTACTGTATAATTCTTTTTATATTATTTTTCGTGAATAATTTATGTCAAAGATATTTATGAAATTTTAGTAAGTAAAATTAATAATGAGAATAAAAATCATAAATAAGATACTAATTAATATATATATTTACTAAATTTTAATTGAAAAAAATAAAAAAATCTTATCTAAAAAAAATTGAAATTAAAGTGAACTGTATAATTAGTTTATCCATTTATAAATTTAAAAACAAGAATTATTTTCAAATAATTTTTTTTATCTAATTAATTTTTTTAAAATTTAAGATGAAATATTTTAAATTATTGATAAAAAGTTTCCTAGAATTTAAATGGAATTCGGAAATTAAGTTTTTTCAATGGATGCTGTGTGGGCATCATTGTCTTTACAAAGAGGAATCTATTATTTTATTCGTTGTATCAATGATGTGATTTTCCTTGGTGGACATAATTTGCATCCATTGCGCCTTTCATCATGCTCCTGTTAATCCAATAATAATCACCCAATTTAATTTAAATTTTAAACTATATTTAATAATGTCTTAATAATACGATTATTCAAATAGTTCCCTATATGACTGTTTAATGTACTAAAAACTATATATATATATATATGTTTATCTTATTAGTTAATTCTTCCAATTAAAAAAGTTGATGTTTCTAATAAAAGATATATATGGTGAAAAAATTATATTATTTATAAACTTAAGATTCAATTTATCTATTATTAATATGAGATTTCTAGTACTTGTTTAATTTTCTTTCTTTTTATTATTTTTAAGATGAATCAACCGTTTAACAAAAGTACAACAAATGGTTTTGAATTAAGGATGGTGTGTAACGTTCGAAAATGCAAACAAAATGAATCATGGATGGAGCTTACTATTCTTCAATAAAAAAATAAGACTGTCGTGCTTAAACTTTAAAGTCAATTAAATAAGACAATGTTAGTTGTATTAATCCAACGGTCTGTTTTTGACTTTATTATTTGTCCTCACCGTTCGGCTCCCTTTCTATTAGTAAGTCACTATCAAACCTTCTTTGATCTCTAACTCAAAGAAATCCAATATCTATAATTATATATAAAAAGCCCTATCTCAAAAAAATCCAATATTTATAATTATACATAAAAAGAAATTCTTTGGGGATATATATATATATAGTGGAACTTTAGGGATTTATTTTTATGCCACATGGAGCTATAGTTTTGTGCCATGTGAAGTTGACAAGTGGACTCCTTAGTTGAGTTTAGAATCTTCCAGACGTGAGTTTAACCTTCCGCTCCATAAACATCTAAAGTTGGAGTCTCCCACATTTGTGTTTTCCATTTTTAATAAATAAAGTTAAATATTTAACACTTGTTTTTAAATTAAATAATGAACAAAGAGGAAAATATATATTGAAAATAAACAGTAAAACATGCAAAGCAATTAAGAAAATTAAAAACTTTATTAACATATAAAAGGATTTTGAATAGAAAAATTATTCAATTGTCGGAAAGAGATAGATATAAAAAGCATATGAGACAAGGCAATATATTTTTTTAGTGTTTCTTGTTTTACAATAATTTTATTTGAATTTCATCTTAACAATATATCTCGTACTTTTTCCTTTTTTATTTGATTGTTGGTGTAACTCATTTCATACTGAGACAACCTTTTATAAGTTAAGTTCCTTATACTCACAATATTTTTGAAGATTTAGTCCCTCATGATCTGATCATGGTAAAAAGGTTGAAATGTAATTTTATATGTATAAAAGTAATTAATATCATAACAAAAATCTAAAAGACAACTATCTATTTCATTTACTTAGACAAAGAATTTTTTGCATTTGTTAATTGAATTTAATATTTTATTATTGTGTAAAACAAAAAACCTTTTTATATAATAACTTTCTATTAAAAATATAAAATTTTATTTTTTATTTTTAATATTATTAATAATTAGATGTTTTAATTATAAGAAATAATGAAAAATATTATGAAATTAATACGACAACTTAACTTTCTAATGTATATTTTCAAAAAATTTAACAATATTATCTCAAAGCAAGAAAAAAAAACCTCATAAACATATTAAAAGATAAAAAGACCAATCCATAATTGCCCAATACGTGTACTTACCCAGCCCGACTAAACTTAAAGCGAGTCGAATCCAAATGACTCGATAAATGAAGCAACTTGAACTCAGAGGTTCCCGAGCTAAACACCACAAAACTCAACAAGACCCGCGACTCAAAATGATCCGAATCAGAGATATTCGATCCAAAACCGACTCGACTCATCCAATAATCACTTAAACCCGACTTAACCCAAACTCTGACTCGAAACTAATTTAAACACGAAACTTAGATTAAGCATAGATGTATTATTTGCTCATTATGAATTTTAATTTAATTGAAAAAAATAAAAAGTATATACAAATTTTCATAAAAATTACCAAAACCAAATTAAATTTGAAAAAATTATTGAAAAATATTCAACAATCCAAACCAATTTAACTTGACTTGATCTAACTGAGCCTATACAAAAAATCAGCCTGTCCAACTGCTACCCGTGCAGACATAGCAGTTCGGCTTTTGTTCTAATACCCGCAATAACCCACATATTAGTTGAATTTGTAAAAGTAGTAAGGTTGGAAAGTGTATCAAAAAACCCAAATTAGGAATATGCACGAATTATTCAAAGTAAACCAGAAAGTTACAAGAAACAACATAACGTATGATCAAGATAAACAAAATGACAAGTTCCAAAACTGGGGAAATATCACAGTTTGTAGTCCAAGAGAACATCCAATTTTTACTCATCGACATTTATTATCACTCATCGACATTTATCATCAAGCATCGCAGTGAGACACTCACAAGAACTTCCTGTATGGCCTACCTGCATCTTCATCCTGCATATGCTGTTGCCAGAATCACCAAATCATTAGGTAAAACACTATGAAATACAAACAAGGAAAAGACAATTTAACAATTCAAGAATAAAAGAACAATTCAAGACAAAAATCAAACAAAATCTTGCAACACAATCCCATAGTAATAATAATAATAATAATAATAATAATAATAAACAACTTACAGAAGAGCTGAAGAAAACCACAAAAATAAAAGAACAAATTGCATTTAATGGGCAAAAGAAGATTATGAATCTACATTTCTAAATGGTCCATGAACAAGTGCATTCCTCTAAACTTAATTTCTTATGCAGCTAAGAGATTTCAATAAGTGATCTTTGAAACCCCATAGCCAATAACAAATCAAACTTGCCCTAGTTCCTCATATCCTCGCCTAGACTTGTCTGAGGTACCAACAAAAAAAAAGAGCAAGAAATTGTATAGCGGCAACATTGTCTTTTAGAGCATAATAAAGGAACCAAAGAAAACATAGATAACAGAAAAACAAAATAAAGTATTTGATAAAATGTAACTTGGTATAAGAACAAAAAGAATATATTATATCCAGGGTTGTTAAAGCTTGAGATGCATACCATTGATCCCTACATTTTTAAAAAATAACTTGCTAATCTTTCCAACATTATAACAAAAAGATCTTTTAGTCAGTATTTTGGTTAAATTTTACACATGGCAAACACAAGTGGCCAGCTGGCGTATAATGCCAGACTTAATAGTAACATTGACAGAAAGACCGTTTCTTTAAAAAATTGGAAGCATAAGGACTAACAAGTTAATTTTTAAACTACAAGGACCAAAATGATATGTGATCCAAACTCTAGAGACCACAAATGTTATTTACTTGTACAAAAAGTATCTTCATGGATTTCTACAAACAATAAAATGCAATTTGAGAAATATTATTAAGGACAACAATTTCAGCATTTCTCAAAGCCACATTTCCATTGTGATCATGAAACCAATCCTGTATGGTAAGCAACTAAGACCTAAGCTAATAGACATAGAAATAAGTAACTTAAATTGGGAGAAGAGATAGGTTGTATGGACTCAGGATCCCATTTTGAGCATAGATGGCATGTTTTTGCTAATTGTCTACATTTATTTTAGGAGGATCTACCAACGTCTAAGAAGTAGTGCACAAGGTATGTTAGGGTGAAATAAAGAGTTTGTGTAACATAGGGGAAGAGTAGGCAGGGAAGTTAACAGTAACTGAGAATACAAAATCTGATCAGGTTAAAACCCTATTCTTGAGGCACCTCCACTTCCGTGAAATGTAACAAGTTATCCAATCAAGAAGAAGACACAAGTTAATTGACCACTCCTAGGTAGCAACTGTTGAACCATTCATTTGACATAACTGACGCTTAATCAAGACATTGAACATCTACTTCACATAAAACTTCATTTGCAGAAAATATAAGTTTTAAACCTTGATAGAACTAGGCAACATGACAAGTCACAGCAACTACTAATTCTATAGGCATCCAATACTCTAAGTGAGCATGATTTTAAAAAATAAATAATATTCACTGTGAAAAAAGAATATGCAGTGAGTGGATCAATTTGCCCTTTAAAAATTGAAGAACCTGGAAATCATACTCGCCTCTTCCCTCCCCTCAAGTTACCAGCTACTCAATACTTATTGTGCACATATTGAATAAGAACTAAATGCAAGAATAGTTTACTAATTTCACATATATACTCTCTACCTCTTTCTTGTGAACTGAATGATGTAACTTGAGACCTTATTTCTTCACGAAGGAGGAAAACTAGCTACCATTAATTTTTATTTCAGGTACTTAGATAGGGTGCCTAGAAAGCATATGGTTAATGAGCACAAAAGTTCACTCCAAAAG